AGGTGACTCGGACTTATCGTACGTCGGTCTCGCCCGAGCGTGAGCCCACTGTCTTCCGCCTCTCCCATCTCGTCCCCCTGTCCGAGAGTGCTAGGCCCCGGCGCCGCCCTTAAGTTCGGAATCCCAGGGGCGTGCGGGCCCCGCCCTCAGCTCCCAGGGGCGGCAGGTGTGGACTCCGCGGGTCTTCTGGCTTGTGGGTCCGACTGTCCAGGTGTGTGCTGCAGCGCGGCCCGTTGGTGTCCCAGGCGCGGGTGGGCCTGAGGGCCTCGCCGACCTTCTGAGGCCAGTGAGCGTGCGCCTGCGCCGGCCCCTGCTTCATGCCGGGCCCCGTGAGCCATCCACAATCCGGGAGCTGGCCCGGCCTCGCCCTGGCAGGGAAGAGAAGACGTTTAAGGGCGTGTGTAACTTACACTTATTCACATCGTGTGTGTTTCAAGAACTCTGAAAACTTAGGAATTCACTCATTCACGAAATAGCATCTGCTAAGTGCTAGCACTGTCCTAAGGGCTGGGAGTAAACAGCAGAACAGAAACCCCCGCAGTCCTAGAAATTCTGTAATGTAATGGGGGGAAGATGATTCAGCACATACGATATGTAGTAGGTACGGAGAAGCGTGCAGTTTAAATAGGTCAAAGAAAGACAAAAAAGGCCACAGTAAGTGACAGTTGAGTGAAGAGGTGGTACCTAGAGAAAAAAACTTCTAAGGCAAAGGGAACAGCGCGGATAAGATCCCGAAGGAGGAATACACAGTGCATTCACAGGAATGGCCAGGGACCCAGTGGAACCACCTCAAGAAGGGCCTTCGGGTTCTTGGCTCTTCTGTTAGGTGAGAAGTGCAGAGAGACCTGGGACCAGTTAGGCGGGATAGGATAGTGGCCTGGACCTGGACAGAAGTAGTGAAGACATGCAGTAGGGGGCGTTTTGACAGCAGGACTGACAGGATTGCTGCTGGAATAGACGTGAGCCCAGTGAGGGCAAAGTCAGCCTGGCTGCTAGCTCTCCTGCCCGAGCTGCTGGAAGGGTGAAGAGCCACTTGCTGAGACAGAAGATGGGAAGCAGGTGCAGGGGAAACAGAACTCTGTTTTAGCCATCTGAGCTGCCTCTGAGAAACCCTAGAAGTGTCAGGTCAGCAGCTGGAGATCCGGACCCATGTCCAGGGAAGTGGTTGGTTGAGAGCTACATATTTGGGAGTCATCAGCATAAAGACAGTATTTGAAGCTGTGATTTTGGACAAAGTCACCTAGGAAGTGAACGTGGACAGGAGAGAGCAGGCATGTACTAGGGTGAACTCGGAGGAAGAGGGTGGTCAGGGAGATAGGAAAGGAACCGACCTGGGAGCACTTGGCCCAGAGCCAAGGGCAGGACGTGTGTCAGGGAGGAGGATGGCGGCCACTGTCAGATGCTTTGGGGGGCTACCTGGCCTTGGAGAACAGCAGGGAGGTCCCTGATGACCGACTGTGGCAAGGACAGTTTGGAGAAGTGAAAGCTTGATGAGAATGGGTTCAAGACAAAAAAAAAAAAAAAAAAAAAGAATTGGGGAGGGTCTGGACAACTATTTTGAGATCTGCCATGAAAGGAAAGATAGCAATGAAAAGCTGGATGGGAGAGAGCGATCAAGACGGTTTGGGGTCCAGCAGGTGGTGTGGCAGTTAAGGTGCTGGATCCCACGTGACCAGCTGTACAGTTCCTGTCCAGAAAGTGGCTTGAAAGGAGAGGGGATTATAGCGTGGCCATCCCCGCTGAGGGGTGTTTTCTCACTTTCCTTCTTTCTGCCTCTGTGACAGCACACGTGCCCTAAAGCAAACACTAAAAATAAATGAGGGAGTTGCTTCTAAGATGGGAGACAGAGCAGGGCTTTGTCAGCGGGTGGGGATGAACCAGGAGAGGAGGCCTGGGGGGAGGGTAATCACAGCCAGTGTTCAGGGGCTACGATGACCTCAGAGAGCTACTCCTCACTTCCACGTCAGGGTTTTGAGCCACTCGCCCCAAGTCCAAGGAGCCATACAAGGCAGCCGAGACCAGAGTCTGCTCTCCTCACCATGGCCCGCCATGCCGCAAGCGCCCTAGGTCTGGAAGGAACGAGAAGGGCAGCTCTCTCACACTGGGGGCTCACCTATTCTTCTGCATTCTGTAGCAGAGGGCGTGGAATATTCCAGAAGCAGGTGGGAGTGGCTCTTTCCTCCATCCTTCCAAAAGCTGGCTCCTTCCTTGTATTGCAGACTCTAGATCCTCAGAAAGTCCTTCCCTGGCGCCTGAGCTGGAAGGACCTCCAGTGACCCACTCCAAAAGCCTCTCAGTTGTACTTTTAATGCTTATCAGGATCTGGCAGGGTTTTTTTCTTTTTTTTCCCTTTATCAGCCATCTCCCCACTCGAGTGTAAGGACAGGGACTTTGTTCTCTAGTGCCCAGAAGTAGAAGATATTCAAATAATTGTTATATGGCCATCAGAGGTGATAAAACTTATATAGAATTTTTTTTTCCTCCTCCAAAGAAGGTGCGTGTGCTTGCCAGAGAGAAATAGAGAAAGAGAGAGAAGGCACTCCCTAAAGGAGTGTGGTCATGCTGCAATCCCTTCTCCACTTCTCCATCCTGTTGGGATTTGGGCACACATGCCTGGCATTTTTTTTTTTTTTTTTTTTGAGAGGTTTTTGCTAGAGGGCGCATGCGCTCACCAGACAGACAGACAGAGACAGAGAGACAGAAAGCGAGAAATCACCCCCCCCCAGGGGGGATGGTCACGCCGCAATCCCTTCTCCTCCAGTCTCTTGGGATCTTGGGCACGCACGCACACGCGCCCAGCGTGAGTTTTAAGCCACCAGGTCCGGGACGCGAACCACGGTCGACTACGTGGGAGTCCAGCGACATAGCCATTATGCTAACTGCTGGTTCCCATGCCTGGCATGTTTTTCAAGCTGCTGGGTCTGGGACTCAGTTCCCAGGGTCAACCATGTAGGATCTGACTCCTTCACCACCAGGCCCTGGGGCTGGCCTACACATCTGTACCCTGGTACTCTCAGTTTACCATGGCATGTGCTCGATTCACTTTGATATGTGGTGGGAAATGACGAGTGCCCTGAGGGGCGCAGTGATGCTGTCACCGTGTGGCAGAGCACAGGGACATCTCCTTAACGTAGTGTGCCCAGCGGCCTGGACAATGCTGGCAAAACCACCATCCTCAAAAAGTTCAATGGGGAAGACATCGACACCATCTCCCCAACACTGGGCTTCAACATTAAGACCCTGGAGCACCGGGGGTGAGTGGGGTCCCTGTGGGTGGGCCAGCCCAGAGCAGGGCAGGGAGAGGCCCAGCTGACCCTCAGCCACCTCCCTGCCCAGATTCAAGCTGAACATCTGGGACGTAGGCGGCCAGAAGTCCCTGCGGTCCTACTGGCGGAACTACTTCGAGAGCACCGACGGCCTCATCTGGGTGGTGGACAGCGCCGACCGCCAGCGCATGGAGGACTGCCAGCGGGAGCTCCAGAGCCTACTGGTGGAGGAGGTGGGCAGGGCCCGGCTGGGCGGGGAGAGCTGGGCTTCCAGCAGCATCCAGGCCCCGACTCCTGAGCACATGGGGGGTGGGGGTGGCACCTTTCTCAGCAGATTCCCAGAGGCATCCATGACCCCAGAGGAACACTGAGGGCAAGGGCCATTCCTTCCTGGGGCCCCCGCTAGGGGAGGCCCCAAAGGCCACAGGCAGGACACATGCTGGGGACCGAGACCTGAGTTCATGTCTCTGCTTCACGCTGGGTTTCAGTTTCATACCTTGAAATGGGGTGATGAAAGCCACATTATGGGGTCTCGGAGAGAGTGACCTAATGCCAGCATGTGGAACTTTGGGAACAATGGAGTCTGTTCACTCTGTAACCTCAGGAGAATCTCTTAACCTGTCTGGACCGCCACTTCCTCATTCCTGAAAGCGGGAGTTATAATTAGACTGATCTTATTATTTGCTGGTTAGGTCCAAAACACTTTTCTTTAAATAAAATTTTAGATTTACAGAAAAGTTGTGAAGATAATAGATACCATGTATTTTTCCTGGTCTTAACATTACATAACCATGTTATGTATATCTGCCAAAACTACTAAATTAATCCTGGTGAATTACTGTTATCTTACCTATAGGTTTTATTTAAATGTCACCAGTTTTGTCACTCATACGCTCTTTCTGCTCCAAGGTTTGATTCAGGGTACCACACTGCACTTCATAGGAAGCCAGGATACTTCCGAGAGCGAAAGGGAGTTGGCAATAAGTATGCAGGGACAACAGGCACACATGGGATTGTCCTGGGTACACAGGGCCATGTCTCTGAGTATGACTGTAGCCCCCCTTGGGAGTAACATGCAGGTCAAATGAGGTCATGACTGTCACATACTGAGTCTAGGCCTGGCTGGTCCAGGCCCACAGCGGTTGAGTCACCCAGCCCCATGGAGGGACGCCCTGTTGCAAACACATACTCATATCCAGAGATAACTAGAACCAGAGGCAGAGCATGAAGCCCCTTGGGAGTGGAACGACTGGAAGAGGGAAAGGTCACTTTCGGCAGACCCCCATGGGCCCCTGGGGTGCTCATGTTTTCTGTGCCTGTTCAGTCATGAGCCATCCGAACCACAGAAGCTCAGGGATTATCATTTCCAACCCCCCCTCCATGTTGGTGAAAGAGGAATTGAGGCATGGGTGAGAGCGGTGCCCACTGGGTAGGGGTTGACAGAAACTGGAACCCAGCCTCATCCAGGGCTCCCTCCGCTCCATGCCAGGCCAGCTGCAATGGCTGTGTCTACACTGCCCACTCACCTGGGCCTCTCCCTCTACTACCGAGTCTTGCCCTGCTTTTCCAGGTAGATCTTTGACCCCAGGTACACTGTGCCGCTAGAGAGGTCAGGCTGTCACCTGAGCCCCAACCCATTTCTTCTCTCCCCCAGCGCCTGGCTGGAGCAACTCTCCTCATCTTTGCCAACAAGCAGGACCTGCCCGGAGCACTGTCCTCTAATGCCATTCGTGAGGTGAGTCCAGGCCCGGTGGCAGGCTCGCTGAGGAAAGGGGCATGCGTTTCTTCATTAATTAATTAATTTTTTAAATATTTTTTTTGGGGGGGAGAGGTTTTCGCTATAGGGCGCGTGCACTCGCCAGACAGACAGAGAGAGACAGAGACAGAAAGCAAGAAATCACCGCCCCAGGGGGGATGGTCACGCCACAATCCCTTCTCCTCCATTCTCCTCTCGGGATCTTGGGCACGCACGCACACGCGCCCGGCGTGAAT